CTTTCATTTTAGTCATGTTTACGTACACACTGTGTATGACATTTTAGTTGTTTCTTTTTAACTTGCCGATTATTTAGAGGAACTAGGGTGATATATATGTGGGTATTTATTACATCTTAGTACAGTAAGTCCAAGTAATATGTGTTGCAATTACGAACTTGCCTTTCATTTTAGTTTGTAGTGTACATGTTTATGTGATATATTTTTTACTTGCCTTTTATTTTAGTTTTTAGCATATGTACATGCATACAACTTTTGATATAAACCAAATACATCCTGCCACTTTCATTCAATTCAATTTTTAATAAGCGTCATGTGTGTATTGTAAGTTAACATTTAAGTTTAGATTTCTCAAAAATTCAATATATTATAGTCCCCATTCTGTGTACTATAGAACGCACTACAGCCACCATTCTGCTAACCGTAGATCAAGATCCAAACTACCATTCTGAATATACCATTTCAAAATGCTGCAATTAAGCGTAACATTTTGTTGCATATTTTGAATGGTAGTGAATGGTAGATGAATGGTGGCTCTATGGTAGATGAATGGTGGCTCTATGGTAGATGAATGGTGGCTCTATGGTAGATAAATGGTGGCTCTATGGTAGATGAATGGTGACTCTATGGTAGATGAATGGTGGCTCTATGGTAGATGAATGGTGGCTCTATGGTAGATGAATGGTGGCTCTATGGTAGATGAATGGTGGCTCTATGGTAGATGAGTGGTGACTCTATGGTAGATGAATGGTGGCTCTATGGTAGATGAATGGTGGCTCTATGGTAGATGAATGGTGGCTCTATGGTAGATGAATGGTGGTTCTATGGTAGATGAATGGTGGCTCCATGGTAGATGAATGGTGGCTCTGTGGTAGATGAGTGGTGGCTCTGTGGTAGATGAGTGGTGACTCTATGGTAGATGAATGGTGGCTCTATGGTAGATAAATGGTGGCTCTATGGTAGATGAATGGTGGCTCTATGGTAGATGAATGGTGGCTATATGGTAGATGAATGGTGGCTCTATGGTAGATGAATGATGGCTCTATGGTAGATGAATGGTGGCTCTATGGTAGATGAATGGTGGCTCTGTGGTAGATGAATGGTGGTTCTATGGTAGATTAATGGTGGCTCTATGGTAGATGAATGATGACTCTATGGTGGCTCTATGGTATATGAATGGTGGCTCTATGGTAGAATATGTAGGTGTGGCCTAATTTGAATAAATGAATAAATTTGTCCCAATTATTTTAATTAGTTCTATGGTAAATGAATGGTAGATCTATGGTAGATTTGCTATGGTGTTTGTATGGTAATCTATGGTAGATTTGCTATGGTGTTTGTATGGTGTACCATAGAGATTTTTTTTGTAAGGGTAGATCTAACAGTTAGATCTAATATGATTGATACGCCGGGTCCATTTCTGATTTCAAATCAGTTGATGCCGGACACGGGTGGGTAGCATTGATCCAGGGAGCTCTGACGCCGACGCCTTTCAGAACTCCCTGGAGTAAGTCATACTGTAGACTTACATGTACATTGTAGCCTGTACTACTAGACAGAAAATTCAGTCTTTTTTTTTTTCGGGGAGTCTAATCAGTCTAGATCTATATCATATTAGACCGAAAGCTTCAGTCTCTATATCGTCGGTTGTTCCACTGAGACTACGTCTGGCTCCACTAGACCTCCGGATATACAGACTGAACGATCGCCTATGCCATCGATCGTACCTTGAAGATACACTCTACGGGTATACGATAAGACGATACTGCCCTGACGCTAAGTTAAATCCTTTTTTTTGTTATAATCGCATGCACTATCATATAAAATTGACATTTAGAATTAAACCACACATGATAAACATTAAGAAAATGTGTACTTTGGACCTCTGCATATGAAATCTTCTTCAAAAAAGTGTTATTATCTCTTCCACTTGACTGTCTTCAGACGTCAGCCATCTTGAATCAAAGTAATGAATATTCATGACAAAGTTTTTTAGTCTCCACCCCATTGACCTCATTCATAGACGTGCGCGTACGTGCTCGTACGTGCTCGTACATGTACATCTCGCATCGTTTGAGTTCTCGTGTTGTCTGCTTCACTTGCGCGCGCTATTCTCGATGTGCCACGCAGAGGAGCTAGCCGAGGCGAGGTCAACCATCCCCATTATCGTATTTGAATATTCATTAGCCGGCATTTTGATTTCCGTCTGTCAGAATGCTTGACGTGGGTCATCGAGAAGCAGCCAAAAGCTCGGTGAGTCCTTTTATTTCTTTTATATTTCTATTTCGTGGGGAAGGGGGGTAAAAAGGGAACTTTTAGGGACTGACAATTGCCTAGAAAATTACTGCAATTGAAGATAAATGACGTATTTCTCCTCAAGTTTGTCATGTTTGTGGGAGGGGCCTAACGGCTAAAATCTAGCCGTGATATCTTCAACATACAATGGCATAGGCGATCGTTCAGTCTGTATATCCGGAGGTCTAGTGGAGCCAGACGTAGTCTCAGTGGAACAACCGACGATATAGAGACTGAAGCTTTCGGTCTAATATCATATATGCTCCACTGAGACTGTGTCTGGCTTCAGCCTTTAGCATACCTGCCAACCCTCCCGCATTTTCCGGGATATTCCGCATTTCTGGAATTTTAGGACCTTAAAATGCGGGAGATTCCGCATTTTGGAAATTTAAGCCAAATTGGGCTTGTATTACCATTTGCCGCGATTTGTGTGAAAGCTCTCGTATAGTATACTGTGTGTGTGTTGATGGCTGCGGAAGCTCATTTGGCTTGTAATGACGGTTTTGCAGCGTATTTGTGCCACTGATAGCGTAGAGATCAGCATTATGTGTGTGTGTGTGTGTAGCGTCTGGCCTGGCATGTACTTTCCATACACGTACACACACACACACACCCATACAAGCGATGTACAAGAACATGCACGCTTCACGTGCGATAAATTTTGAGCGAACGGGTTAGCTTCGACGTGTGATCGTGAATAGTTACTAAACTTGCAAAAGTTTGTCAGTTTTACTTATAATGTCTTCCAATCCCAAGGAATACGCTTGCTTGATGGATTCATGGAGTTTACCGTACCGTACTAACTTTTCAATTGTCTAATCCAGTATTTGGAAGAAGTGTGTCGGAACTATGGTATACAGAGTGAACGCACGCTGCAGTGCGGTACCGGAGGTGAGTCGGTGCCAGTGGAGTGGGGCAGCGATGGCGAGGCGTACCGTACATGTACTGTGTATAGTTTGATCGATGCATGTCAAATGTTGCCGTAACTGAGCTGTGTTGGACAATCGCTACACCGAATTGAATTCAGCGTACCTGCCAACCCTTCCGAATAATCCGGAATATTCCATTTTCTGGATTTTTAGGACCCCAAAATCCGGAATATTCCGTTTTTTTTCAAAATTTTGATTTAAAAAAAAAAAAAAAAAAAAAAAAATTTAAATTTTTTTTTGGTTTTTTTTGTTGGTGTTGCTTAAGCCAAATTAAGCTTGTTTTATCCTTTGACGTGATGTTAGAGTTCACGTATTGGGTGCGTTGAAGGGCTGCATGATTAAATTCGCTTTTTTTGCACAGATTTACCGCGTATTGCCAGTTATACACTGCCGCTGCATGTGCGAACGCCTGTTAAGTGTACAGATTTCTTATTTTCGAAGACATACCGCGCTAAAAATTCTTAATTCTCATTTTCAAATGTTGGCAGGTATGCTTTAGTTAAGGTCCATACGTCCACCTGAGTGCACAGCCAGCATGGTGATGGAAGAAGGGAAGGAAGGAAGAAGATCAGAGGTGGACAAAGAAGATGGAAGAGAACAACAAAGACAGAAGAAGATGATGAAGAACAAGGAGAAAATAAGAAGATATCATCACAACCTTCAACACTGCACTGTGCTTAAAGTTTAAACTTAAAAGTAGGTTCACTATTGACTATTCTGTCTATTCAATTCAATTCAATAAGGGTTTATTCGTATGATGTTCTGGCAGCCGAAGCTGAATTGCAGATCATTTGTACAAGGTAAAAACATCATGATATTTAAAATACACTGAGCATTATACATGTTGACATAAAATAAAATTAATGACATATAAAAGGATAAAAATACTGGACACATTTATACACATAATAGGCAACATCATTAAACATAAACATATACAAAAATACATGAAGCTTACTTTTTGGAATAATAATCGTTTAAAGGGAAAGTCCACCCCCAAAATAAGTTTGTTTCGATAGAGGCAGAATAATAAGAAAATCAGGTGAGTGAAAGTTTGAGCAAATTCTGAATGAAAATAAGAAAGTTATGAATTATTGAAGTTGTGATCAATCAAATACAAATTGGCAACTCTGTGACTTATTATACGAGCTCTCCTTCATTTACTTTGTGCATAATATTCCATAAAATCATGTTTTCTTCGTTATTGATGACGGAATATATATTTGTTCCTTGCAGGGGGAGGATAGAAACATATTTGCAATTATTATATTTAGGGTGCATGTATGGTTGAAATTTTTCTTGAGGGAAAATGAAAATTTTAGATTTTTTTAGTACTGAGCAAATGGAAGTTGAGCTCGCATGATACGTCATAGAGTTGCCAATTTGTGTCTGATTGATCACAACTTCAAAAATCCTAACTTCCTTATTTTTAATCGGAATTTGCTCAAACTTTCACTGACTTGTTTCTCTCATTTTTCTACTCCTATTAAAACTAACTTAATTTCAGGGTGGACTTTCCCTTTAAGATACGAACAAAATAGGGAATAGAGCTGTTATTAAAGCGACTAGTTTAACAAATAAATTGAGAATATTTCTGTACATTTCGTAAATTAAATTTAACAATTCTTTGACTTGGTAGCCATAACGAACACAAATCATGCTTTTCTAATTTGATGGCGAAATCAAAACAAAGTTTATTCCTACGTTCTTCCAACGTTAACAAATTTTGTTTAGAAGACTAGTATTAGTATAACAATTTTTTCTTCCAATCCACAGGCAGCTTGAACTTCTTGAAGCTGTGCAAGATCAAGTATTTCAACTTCAATTTGATCCATTCCATTCAGGTAACTAAACTTCCTGAAAATATCTTTAATTGTATGTAATTTTAATGTTCATAAACATGCAAACTTTCATAACTTTGTCATCAAAAATCTTGTATAGGGTCCACATACATGTAGATTTAGAGTAATCTTGTAATACTTGTTTTTTTAACAATGCACTGTTGCATTTTCAGTTGGTCGAACTCTTCAGACAATTTTAGAATGCATCTTCTTAATCTTGACTTGATGTGACATTTTGTAATATGAAAACTTAACTATTCCCTGACTTATTATTTTGGTATGCCAATGGATACTAAATTGTCTAATTCCCAGGTGATTGATATAGGGACCACCATGCTTCTGTAGTCAATAGTTTTACTTCTATAGGATACCTACTTCAATTGCATTCCTGCCCAGTGTCAGTATCAGACTGATGGCCTCATATTAAAGCCGTTGACTACTGAATTCTCTTAATCGCTTAGACTTTAGTTGTCACATGTCTCCCATAGGCAATGGGTTAAGTTGTTACATTTAATCTGGGTTCATCTTAAAAGCTGCATATTCACAGCTTTCTTTGTATATCAACCATCAGCTTCAGGACATCTCTCTGTTACTCTCTGTTACCATAGCTGCTTGAGACAGATAGTTACGTCACCGGAAATAGCTTCTGATTAGTCCGGCATTTCATGAAGCTCCAAATAGTTCCCTATCATGGAACTTGTAGGTGGGAGAGGACTATTTGGAGCTCCAGGATTTAACCTATGACCCTGATCGTGTACGCATGGATGCCAGTGTCACAACTATCTATCTCAATATGCTATGATCTAGGCTATCCCCCAACTATTCTCCCCCCCCCCCCTCCCCCTAGGAATACTACCTCTCATACAATTGCCCCTGGACACCCCGTCCCCAGGACAACTACATGTATGCCCCCGACTAATTCACCCCTAGGGTAATTACATGTACCTCTCAGAAAACTACCCTTGAAACAACATTTTAGAAAAAAATTCCGCCTAGGATAATAAGCACTTGCTTGACAACTGCCCCTATCAACGGTCACTCCAATTTCTTTCAGACAACTACCTCACTACCTTAATTAGGGGATTGTGGTGTTGGGGAGGGAGGGGAAGAGGTGGGAGGATTGGAACTAGTTGTCAGAGGGGTAATCGCTCTTTTTGCAAAGCTTCTGCTGAACTTTGGAACAGACTACCGGTACCTTTAAATGTCAAAAACTGCCAACCTTTAACCTATTCAAAATTATTAGTCTTAAGACACATTCATTCAAAATTGCATTCAATGATTAATTACTCTGTTCACTTTGATGTGTATTCCATATGTATTGTAATTTGTAGGTTTATTTGTAGTTTTTTGTTTTGTTTAATATGTAATTGTTTATTTTGTGTGCTATATCGCTTAAGAGACTTCGGTGGTAAGCGCTTTAAAGTAACGTTTTTATTATTATTATTATTATAAGCCCTAGGTGAGTGGGGACTTGTTTTGGGGTTTGTTGTCCTAGAATCAGTAACTGCAGATATAGGAGAAACGAAAATGAGCTTGGACAATGCAGCAGTCTGCTTTAGTTAGTACGTTGAACTTTAACCTTTGACCTCTCCTTACAGAGAAACTTCATGGCTCAAACTGGAGATCCAACAGGAACAGGGAAAGGTGGCGCTTCTATCTTCAGGTAATTGACACAGAAATTGTCTGTTGAGAGCCAGAAGGGCATTTTAAAATGGATCGGGTAACTTTGTCTCAGATTCTGAAATAAAATCCTGGATTTGGCTCGTGCTGCAATGATAATTATAAACAATTAGATCAGTCAGGAACCCCATGACTTTTACAAGCCAATGGCCTGTCTGATTATCAAGATATTTATGATTGAAAATCGAAATTTCATTTTGCATTTTCCTAACGGTTTTGATAACATTACAGTCTATTGGGGAAAATGAGTATGGTAAAACAGGTTACCCAAAGATTTGTACTTTTTGAGGCACTTCATGATCATTTTGAAACGCAATTTCTTTAATAGGGCTTCAATATTACACCATATCACAGACACTGATAACATGTAAGGCCATACATCTCAGATTTAACATTGTTAAACGATGTCTTTCAGGAGCTCATTTCTACATACCTGTAGTTTCGACATATTTATGGCTCTCAGCAGACATTATATGTAGTGATCAAAATGATATTATATTAGGATAAAATTTCATTAAAAGTTTATTTCCCAAGCAAAATCACTGTAGAAATTCTATAGTGATATACATGTATAGTTTGAATAAATTTTAAAAAAGAAAAGATGGCTGAATTTATTTTTTTTCTCCACATTTGTTCTTCATTGTTCATGTACTGTACATGTATGTTTAACTACAGTCAGCAAATAGCAAGTAAGATTCAATTTTTATTTTTATTTTTCCCAATTAACATGCTCTAATATTGCTCTTGCTAGAAAACTATTTTCAGCATTGAGTATGAATTCTCAAGATTTTAACCCTTTGCCTACTGGAACCAAGTGGTCCCTGTATTAAAGCCTATAGGAATGAGAGAATCCAGTCAACAAGTTAAGAGGGAATTCTCAAGATCTACCATTCAATATGCTGGATGCATTCTATGGAATTCCCTGAGCAATGAAATAAAATCATGTCCCTCACTTGCCATTTTAAAAGAAAAATCGATATTAATACCAAAATACCTATTCTGGCAGTCAGTCACTCAATAGTGTCTGACAGTGAAGTCTAGAAATTAAACGGGTTTCCTTGCATAATTTGAATACTAGGATACTACTAACGTTTAAATTTCACAGATAAGACGTACATGTATGTGACATACTCATAATTCCTGCAAAGTTCTACAGAATTTGATGTTGGCTGCAAAAGGGACATACATGTAGTACCTTTAGGCCAAATTTTAAAAAAAAACATGTTTAGCGTCCTGCCTTTTTGAAAATAGGAAGGAGGAGGCCCTTTTTTTTCTTTTCTTTTTTCTTCAAAATGGCCGCTCAAAATGGCCGCTCTGTACATTTTCCCTGAGAGTCAGGCTATTTTCAAGATGGCCGCCGGCATTTAATTTTTTTTAATTTTTTTAAAAAATCAGATCCAATTTAGCAGTGTTTTTATTCTTTTTTTTCTTTAAAAAATTAAAAATTAAAAAAAGAAAAGAAAATGAAGCGGGCGGGGACGATAAACATGTATATTTGCTTAAATGTTGATTTTTGTTTTCTTTCGACAACTCAGCAAGCTGTACGGGGATCAAGCCAAGTACTTTGAGATGGAGAATAGTCCAAGGATCAAACACAGAAAGAAAGGGGCACTCTCTATGGTCAACAACGGAGAAAACATGCACGGATCGCAGGTTGGTCTACTTATCATGACCAGGGCCCTGTTTCACAAAGACTAAGATCGACTTTATGTTGGACTTAACTATGGCAGGCTGTTCATGCCACTGGTTGCTCTCACCATCTACTGGCATTGGTCTCTCAAGGGACATACAAATCATGGTCACAAATCAACAGAAAATACATGTTTTGATAGTTCATTATTGAAGGAAACAATATTATCTAAAAATCATAATTGAGAGGCCAATAGTGAGAGCAACCAGTGGCATGAATGGCCTGCCATAGCAACCATCTTAAGGTCGATCTTAGTCTTTGTGAAACACCCCCCAGGGCTCTGTTTCACATAACTTGTAATCAATAAGAAATGCTAAAATTCTATGACAAACTAGCTCTCAACCAACAGATTCCTTGATTTCGGTAGGTTATAACAGTTATAATAACTTGTTATTGATGGCGAGTTTAATGAAACAGGGGCCCAGATTCATAATAATGATGATAAGAAGTAGTAAATTCTAGGTTTGTATCTATACATGTAGCTCTTTAGGGTATGTCATCTTTTTACAGCTGTGCGCAATGCAGCCTGAACCATATCAATGTTAAAGCAATATTCTTCTTCCAAACCAAAAAGAATGTGCCCTTCAATAGCTAGAAGATTGTGCTCTGAAAAATCCCCAATTGGAATGGCGTCCCAGAAGCTGGCCTATCATTTTTGCTGCGTGTATACGATTTGTTCAAGCATGTAACAGTAATTCAACTGAATCCCGTATTAGCGAAATGTGATAAACTCAGAGCTGCCAACTAGTATGGATTTCCTGTAATTAGTACAGAAATTAACGATCATTACGGAATGTTGTCTCAAATTACGGATTTAAATTTTTAAATATTTTTTTTAAATATGATTTATCGTAGCGAGTGCTGTGAACTTGTGAAGTATGTGATTACTGATTTTCTGCTCTGGAGGTTGGCAGCTCTGTATACTACAAACATGTATATCAGGATCCCCCCCCCCCCCCAAAGCCCACCTTGAAATAGAATTATCATCGGGCATACTCAAAATGATTGGATAGCTCAATATGAGGCCGATCCGTGACCTCCTTCAATGAACCCTTGCTTTTCTTGCCCTCTAGTTTTTCCTGACTTTGGCTGAGGATCTGGACTATCTTGACGGTCAGCACACTGTGTTTGGTGAGGTGACGGAAGGATTCGACGTACTAGACAAGATCAATGAAGCATTCTGCGACAAGGGGAATAGACCTTACCAGGATATCAGGTAAGTTCCTACTCAGAAAAACAGGGATTTAACTGATGTAATGATGATGATGATGATGATGATGATGATGATGATGATGATGATTGATGATGATGATGATGATGATGATGATGATGATGATGATGATGATGATGATGATGATGATGATATAGTGATGATGATAAGATGATGATAAGATGATGATGATGATTTATGATGATGATGATGGTGATGATGATGATGATGATGATGATGATGATAGTGATGATGATAAGATGATGATAAGATGTTGATGATGATGATTTTTCTCTGATTTTTCTACCTCCTTCCTTTTTAGATCAAGTATCTAGTAAGGGTGAATTTCCATTTAAGCTATCCTTTTTCTTTCTTTTATAGAATCAGTCACACCATAGTCTTAGAAGACCCATTTGATGATCCTGACGGTCTTGAGATACCAGACAGATCCCCTGAGCCAACTAAAGCACAGCTAGAGGTATGTACCCATCTCAAAGCTCCTTGGTCTAAAGAGCTACTTGCTACACCCTTTATGGCAACCGAACATTTGCTCTGGTGAAGATCTTTGATGATCTTAAAGGGTTAAGGTTGGGGTTGGAGTCCAGGGTTGAAGTTCATAGATCTTGGAGATCTCTGATGACCTGTTTGAAGATCCTAAAGGTCTGAGATACCAGACAGATCCCCTGAGCTAGAGGTATTTATCCATCTCAAAGCTCATTGGTCTAAAGAGCCACTTGTTACATCCTCTCTGGTAATCAAACATTTGCTCTGATGATGGTGACCTCTTTGATGACCTTGAAGGGTTAGGGTTAGAGTCCAGGGTTGAAGTTTCTAGATCTTGGAGATTTTTGTTGATCTGTTTGAAGATCTTAAAGGTGAAATTCAAATAAAATCACAAATATGTCAACTAATGGTTGACTAGAAACTGGTAATCTAACAGATGGCCATCGTACAAGTTATAGGTCAACTACATATCGGGTGATTTATACAAAATACAAATACAACCACCTCCATAGCAGATGGGATATACCAGAGATTCACCGGAAATATAACGATGTTTTAATGACGTCACTATGTGGACCAACACTGCCTAAGCAGACGACATCCCATAGAGAATGAACATAATTGCAAAGCTATTATTTGTCAAATTATAATGAGTTTAGTGTATATAAATGTAATGGCATGTCAAACCATTCAAAAGGGGATATGACCCGATTCTGATAACTAAAATCTTTTGCTTGTGAATACACAGGATAGGGGGTAATTAACAATCAAAGAAACCAGACTTTCAAATTGAAAACCCCCTGGAATGATATTAAGGACGGCATTTGTTCCCTCTTGAAACGCCTAACATACCCCGGTGTGTGCAGCTGAATATACAATGGCGTCTTATTTTGTTTACAAGCGACAGATTCCTTTATTTTTGTATCACTGCATTTGTCATCAAAATAAAACCATGCGCGGGGTTAAGAGTGAGGCAATAGATTATACATTTAGCCTGACGGTAGTGAAGTAAGAGAAAGAACTCAAGAAAAGATGAAAACACAGGCACTGAAAATGTGTGAGATGTCATGGGGCATCGTCTGCTTGTGCAAGTCATGTCCATACTGTGATCTCACTCATCTCAGCCGCGTTCGGAGTGCTCTTCCGGTGCTATGCCGGGGCTGTATTTAAGCGTTTTGTCATTTATAATAATCATTACTTCGAATGTTTCCAAGCATTGAATTTTGATAACCTTGTCGAATCAAAGTTTCAACTTTGCAATAATGAAAATAAATTTAGTTTTTAAAATCAATGAATATCAACTTTAAGGTCTTGAGAAACCAGTTCAGTCCCCACAGCCAACAAAAGAACAGCTCAGTAGTCTAAAGAGCCACTTGCTATATCCTTTCTGATGACCCATTATTTATTGCGAGGATGGTTGCTATGGGCCTTCTTGTTGTCATTACTGGGGATGGTGTTATTGTTTAATATCATTATTATTAATATTTGTATGCCTCCAAAACAAATTAAATGAGTTTAATAGCATTTAGCAAAATTGAAACAAAAATCTACCAAGAATTCTTACCTAATACTTTTATTGAGTAAAGATTGGTTAAAACATCACAGAAAATCTGAGAAACTGTCTGTTTATCTTCACTTGAAAATGACTGAAAGTTTCAATCATTTGGGAATCACAGACAAAAAGCACTGTATGGTGTCCGCGCTCACACAAAGAAAATTATAACACGTAAACCAATGGGAATCTGAACACAATTAATTTATGCGGCCCGTTATCCAGGGTAACGAATATCACTCATGAACTATTGACTATATGTTTGTCTCTTTGCGGGATTATTATTTATTTATTATTAGTAAAGCTTATGATTATTATTATTATCATTATTATTGTTGTTATTGATGTAAATATTATTATAATCATTGTTGTGACCGTCATCACTTTTGTCTTCATCATTATCTTCAACTTGTTTTCAATTACAGATCTATCAATCAATCTTTATTTACTGGGTGTAAGCCACAAATATGTTTTAAACAACTGAAATTTCTCCCAGGAAGCATTACATTTGTAAAACATAATTGTTATGTACTGGTAGTTGTTATGATGATGATGATGATGATGATGATGGCGATGTTTTGTGATGTTCGTATCATCATTGTTTTGTATTTGTTGTTTGTGCCGTTTGCAGAGTGGACGTATAGGAGCCGATGAAAGCATTGAAGACGACGACGGAAAGACTCAAGAGGAGCTGGAAGGCGAAGAAAAGAAGAAAGACGCCACTGCCAATGCACATATCCTGGAAATGGTGAGTTGTCAAACCAGTGTTAAAGGGATCATTTAACAATGTTGAATCTGAGATGCACGGCCCTACGTGTTATCAGTGTCTGTGAAATAATGTTATACCGGTATTGAAGCCCTAAAAAAAATGTGCTTCAAAATGATCAAGAAGTGCCTCAAAAAAGTAAAAACCTTTGAGTGACCGGTTTTACATTACTCGTCCCCAATAGACTGTAGTGTTATGAAAAACGTTTGGCAAACGCAAAATTTGATTTCTATTTTCAATTATAAATATCTTGATAATCAGTCAGGCGTTCGGCTTGTAAATGTAGTGGGGTTCCTGATCAGTGGCGTACCTGGGGTAGTCCGTCAGGGGGGGGGCAAGCGATCAAAACAAAACAAAAAAGGCGATGCTAATTTTCACTTCTGGCGAGCGAGCGGGAAAAAAAATATATTTAAGTAACGCTTGGTATATAAACCGGTATTGTTGCAAGTCTGGGGTGAGCACATTCATTTGTTAGCCACGATAATTTCATTTTTGCAAGCGAGCGTAGCGAGCAAGAAAAAAAATCCCTTCTTTTTTAATAATTGCCACTTAAACTTGGTCCAATTGTCCCATGCCGGGTGCGGGAACAATATTGTGTTTAGGGTGATGTTATACCCATTTTAGCTAGCGAGCGAAAATACACCTTTCTCTAATAAATTGCTATATAAAACTTGTTTCATTGTTGCAATCCGGGGCGGGCACAATCGTGTTAAAGGCAATTTCAATCCCATTTTGGCGGGCAGGCAACCCACCCCCCCCCCCCTACATTTCTCTTTTTTTAATGATATTGTAGCAGGTCAGTGGTTGGCACATAATTCCACGAGCTAGCGAGCGTAGCGAGCGAGCGAAAAAATCACTTCTCTACGGTGAGAACATGGTATATAAACTTGATTTCATTGATCCATGTCAGGGACGTGATTATTCAAAGCGATGTTATTTCTATTTTGGCGAGCGAGCGTAGGGATCGAGCAAGGAAAATTTTTGTAATGATAATTGGTTCATAAATTTCAGGCTTTTTTGTTGCAGGTCAGGGCTTACACAATCATGTTAAAGGTGATGTTAATTCCGTTTTGGCGAGCGAGCACACCAAAACTTCTTTGAATAATGTTTGGTAAATTATTATTAACTAGTTGTTGCAGGTTAGGGCGGGCAGGTTAGCGATGTTATTTTCATTTTGGCGAGCGAGCGTAGCGAGCAAGAAAAAAAATCGCTTCTTTTTGTAATTATTACCAATTAAACGTGGTTCAATTGTCCTCAATGAATTGGTACATAAACTTTGTTTCATTGTCGCAGGTCGGGGGTGGGTACAATCGTGTTTAAGCCAATGTGGCAATGTCAATCCCATTTTGGTGGGCAGGCAAAACAAAATTAATGATGATTGGTGCATAATTTTCAGGTTTTTTGTTGCAGGTCGGGGCTTTATACACAATCATGTTTAAGGTGATGTTTATTCCATATTGGCGAGGGAGCGAAGCTAGCGAGCAAACCAAATTTTCTTTGATTAACGTCTGGTACATAATTATAAACTGGTAATTTGTTGTAGGTTGGGGTGAGCATGTTAATTGTAAAGACAGCGTAGCAAGAGAGGGTAAACAAAAAACATATCAACTCATATACATGTATCAATCACTAAAATCAATCAATTCATCAATTCTGGCGAGCGAGGAAACAATATCTCTCAAAATAACGTTCGGTACTTATTTACTGGGATTTTCGTTGCAGGCAAGGGGGCGCACATATTTTGTTAGAAATGTCAATTCCATTTTGGTGAGCGAGCATAGCGATGCAAAAAAAATCAATTCTCTTTTAATAGAAATGAATACATAAACTTGTATAATTGGTGCAGGTCGGGATGGGCGCAATCGCGTTTAACATGATATCAATTCCTTTGTGGCGAGAGGGCGAAAAAAACACTTCCATTTTTAATGATATTGTTGCAGGTCAAGGGTGGGCACAATTGTTTTTAAAGCAATGTCTATTTCATTTATTCGCGAGCGAGCGTAGCGAGCGAGAAAAAAATGAATTAGTCTCTTTTAGTAACATTTGGTACATAAATTGGGTGTTATGGTTACCATGGTTGCAGGTTGGGGTCAGGCGGGGCAGACACAATTTTATTCTAGGCAGTGCTAATCCTTTTCTTTTTTCAGGAGGACGAGCAAGTGAAAACAATTAATACAAAACAGGCTAGCAAGCAGCTCGCGCCAGCGAAGAGTATCGAATTTGTTATAATTATCACTTATATTTTCCTATTTTAATTTGTCTCTTTCTTTGCCGTATGCTGAATATTTTTCTGATGGGGGAGGGGGAAAGATGCATGAAAAGTTTTTGAAGAAACTCAAAAGCAAAAGGAGTGAAGGGAGTTCGAGCGACCAAACTTGTCATGAGGGTACTTTTGCATTTTCAAAGTTGAATTGAAGGATTTGGTATAGGCCTTCACTACTTGTGAGCCTTGTTAAACATTTTCAGGAAAAAAATTGTACGTTTTCAAAATATCTGGGGTCGAATGCCTCCCCCCCCCCCCCCCCCCCCCCGGTGCATACGGCCATGGTTTTTAAAAAAATAATTTCCCCATTTTTTCCCCTCTTTCTTCCTTTTCTCTTCTTCTTCCTTGTTTTCCCTTTTCCTTTTTTCTTTTTTTTTTTCCTTTCCTTTCTTTTCTTTCCCCTTTTTTTTTTCTCTTTCCCTTTTTTTTCCTTTCCCCTTTTTTTCCTTTCCCCTTCCCCCCTTTTCCTTTTTTTCCCCCTGGAGCCTGTCAGGGGGGGCACTCTGCCCCCCTTGCCCCCCCCCCCCCCTCAGGTACGCCAGTGTTCCTGATTGACCTAAAGGTTTATAATTATCATTGTAGCATGAGCTAAATCAAGGATTTTTTTAAAGGATCTAAGACAAAGTTACCGGATCCCTTTAAAATATCTTGACCCTTGTCAGTGAGGGGGTGGTTGGGGGAAGGGGGGCACCGTTGAAACAGCTTTTCAATATAGTCAATTTTTTATGCCTCCGTTACGAAGTAGCCGGAGGCATTATGTTTTCGGGTTGTCCGTCCGTCCGTCCGTCCGTACGTCCCGTTCTCGTGATCGCGTTATCTGAAGAATCGATTGATGGATTCCTGCCAAACTTTGGTCATGTATGTATCTTGCAGAGCCGATGAACTGATTAGATTTTGGGGTCACGAGGTCAAAGGTCAAAGGTCACAGGGCTCATTATGTATGCAAAAACAGCTTGTGATCGCATTATCATTAGAACAGATTGATGGATTCCTGCCAAACTTGGATCATGTATGTATCTTGCAGAGCCAATGAACTGAGTAGATTCTTGGGTCATGAGGTCAAAGGTCATGGGCTCATTATGTATGCAAAAAAAGCTTGTGAACGCATTCTCATTAGAACTGACAGATGGATTACAATTGAACTTGAATTTGAACAATTTCTTCTGTTTTGGTTTGTAAAATTGCTCTATGACGGAGGCATCATTTTGACTGCGCGCAGTCGAAGTTCCATCTAGTTTTTAATGGGGGGGGGGGGGCAATGGAAATAGTAAGTCATTCAGAAAAGAATAAAGTTCATAAACCTTTTCAGAAAAGAATTGGACGTACATGTATTGATTTTTTTCCATGTGGGGATGGTCTATCAGGCTTGGTTTTAACACCTCTGGGGGGGGGGGGGTGGGAGAGATATCTGCCTGTATTATCCCTCTTTATCTCAGTAAATTTTGCAATATGCGCAATATAGTAGAGAAAAAAATTGCTGCATTGTTTTATTGACTTCTCCTTCTAGTCTTAAGCGTCTTTTGACATCAAAATGATCAAATGTACTCAAACAAGCAACACCGGTGCCAAAATGAGGTATTTAGTATTGGCTTTCATTCGCCATGTAAAATTCAGTTTTATTTGACCTCCCTTTTTAGATCGGTGATCTGCCAGATGCGGATGTGAAACCTCCAGAGAACGTGCTCTTTGTTTGCAAGCTCAATCCTCTCACCACCTCCGAGGATCTAGAAATCATCTTTTCAAGATTTGGCAAGATTTCAAGGTAATCCAGGGGGGTGTTTCACAAAGATTCTAAGTAGAACTTGAAGATAAACTCCAGTTTTGGTAAAAAAAAGAAAATTAATTCTCACAGAATCAAACGAAACTTACACTGAATGTTCAAGATTACAAATAAATGACATGTGCCAAACAATTTTGGAAGACAATGTATACTGGCTGAGTAATGAGCATAGAAAGACAAGGAAATCAAGGTAGTACTAGCCCCGACACCATGTGTGTTGTCCCATATATAGCTTTCTGTGTACAGTGCGTGTTACTTTACCAAGACTCGGCCAAATTTATGATGATTTTGATGACTCCAGACTTATACTTACTCATACTTACATGCTACATGATCAACTGTTTCTGATCCATTCCACACCTTTTCTTTCACAATGCAATCGCGTTACCAGAACTCACCTTTATCTTTAACTCTAAGTTGGACTTAAAAATTATGGAGAGCCATTTGTAGCCTTGAAAAAAAATATGTTCAAAAACAAAAATTCAAGCATTTTAGACTTTTCATGAATTCCACATCAAGAACATGAAATCTCCCATGATAATAGAAAATATGATTGATTACAATCAACATTTTATGCCTTTTAAAATAACTTTTACAAATATTTTCAAAGATGCTAATGGCTTTCCATAATTGTTAAGTCCAACTTTAATAGAGATAAGTTCAACTTCGGATCTTTGTGAAACACCCCCCTGGGAATAAATTCAAGTAGATCTTTTTATAATTCTATTCATGAAAAGCAATCATCTACCCAATTGACCTGGGCATCGTTTCACGGAACTGTCATAAGAACAAGTTCTCTGACATCCCATTGGAGTGCGTACATTAAATTCAACACGTATTTCAATGGGATGTCGGTGAACTTGTACTTATGACGGTATCGTGAAACAATGCCCTGTTTACTTGCTTTACCAACCATTTTCTTCACCTGCTTTGCATACATTGGTTGTTGCTATGTCGGGCAAGCCACTGACAAGCAATGTAGTTGTCGAGAGATCCTTTTGTCCATGTGGTATGAATAAAATTAGTAAACAGGTCTACACATATCTATTTTTTTTTACAAACCTTTGGTGTTCTTACTATTCTCCTAATAATGTGCATCATTTTAGGCCTGCTTCATCGATTTGCAAAGAAAACAAAATGTCTAACCGATTTCCATGCTTGTCTCTCGCTCTCTCTTTTTTATTCGTAAACAGTTGTGAAGTGATTAAAGACAAGGTGACTGGAGACTCCCTGAGCTATTCCTTCATCGAATTTGAAAGGGTAAATATGTCTTTTTTCTCACTTTATTTAGTTGTAAACAGATACATGTCACTAGTAGAGTAAGTTTCACAAAATCCTGCTATTACCAACTTTGGTTACATGCATTTATGCAGTGTCTGTGAAATGGTGTAATATTGAAGCCCTAAAAAAATTGCGCTTCAAAATGATCAAGAAGTGCCTCAAAAAAGTAAAAACCTTTGAGTGACCGGTTTTACCATACTCGTTTTCCCCAATAGTTATGAAAACTGTTTGGCAAACGTGTTTCAAAATTTGTAATTCCAATCATAAATATCTTGATAATCAGACAGGCGATCGGCTTGTAAAAGTCATGGGGTTCCTGACTGACCTAAAGGTTTATAATTATCATTGCAGCATGAGCTAAATCCAGAATTTTGTTTTAGAATCAGAGACAAAGTTACCGAATCCCTTTAAGGTGTTTGTTTGCCCCAGATAGCTTGCTCAAACAAACATGTTGGTGAAACACTGATAAAAAAGAGGTCGAGTTATGGGAAGGTGAACAATTAATCTCTGTGCTTTGTCATTCTTCTTTATGTTAGTGAGGAAGAATATCTTAAAGAGGCCTCATATTCGAAATATGACGCACAATAATTCATGTGTTAGGAGCAAACCTTCATGCCACGTCTTTACATTGTTCCATACACTTACTTCTGTGTGCAGTGCATACGGACTTCAGCAAGACAGAGTCGATTTCTTATAATTTTGATGAATCCTAACGTTACATTATACACCATTTAATGAACTTTTTCAAGCTTCCAGATTTTCTTTCACAATGTAATCGTACGACCAGGGGAGTGTTTCGCGTGTGTGTGTGTGTGTAATTGGTTTTTACAGACGTGTATCGATCAGATATGATTATTTACGTCTGGGGACCGACCTTTAACGTGACTCAGTTTCGATCCTGCGTCCTCGGCTGAATCAGTTTGTAAATTCAATTTTTAGCTGGATTACAGGCGCATGCCACAACGCCCCATCTCATGAAGACTAAGATTGACTTTAAGTTGGACTTAACTATGGCAGGCCACTCATGCCACGGGTTGCTCTAACCATTATGATCTTTAACTAACATTTTTTCCTTCAATAATGAATTATCAAAAAATTTGCGACTAATGATTTGTACGTCCCTTAAGAGACCAATAACAGTAAACGGTGAGAGCAAACAGTGGCATGAATGACCTGCCATAGTTAAGTCCAACTTAAAGCCACACTGTCCTACTTGTAACTACTTGCTCCCTCTATATAGAAAACTTCCCCAATCGGTGACCATAGGTCCCCCATAATCCTCTTTTTCTTATGTTAATTGAGAACTGAGTTGATGAGATAACCACCTGTCCAGTGACCTTGCAGGTTGGTCTAATCCCTCCTATAAACTAGTGCAGATAAGCTTTAAATTTGATCTTAGTCTTTGTGAAACACCCCCCAGAACTTGAATGTGTCTTTATATTGCCCGATGTGATCTTTCGTTAAAGAGCCCCATTTTCATGCCTTTCTGAGTTATCTCATCTCCTTTGTGTTTTTTCTTCTTCACTTCTCGTTTGACAGGAGGAAGACTGCGAAGAAGCCTACTTCAAAATGGACAACGTTCTCATTGACGACCGTCGCATTCACGTCGACTTCAGCCAGTCTGTCGCCAAACTCAACATGGGACCATCAGGTACGAGGCCTTGCCCAGCAAATGCGAATCACTGTTTTGGTCTAAAACTAATTTGTCTACTACCAATTTGGTCTATTGTTCATTTAGTCAGATTCCCTGTTTGTCCAATGTGCATTGCGTCTGTCATGCACCCAGAAGTACTAATAAACCTTTGATGACTTGTTTTTTCTGATTATATGATTATTAGACCATATTGATAGTAGACAAATTGGGCATTACACAAATTGGGAATTAGGCCTACTGGAAATTAGACTAAATGAGCTAGAGATCAAATGGATAGTAGACTAATTGGAGATTAGACCACATGGAAATTAGACCAAATGACTCTTAGCCTAAATGGTCATTACACCAAATGATACGTAGACAAAATGATAATTAGACTTTGCAAATGTATTGTGATAGAAAAGTGTCAATTTCCATGCAGTTGCCAGATTTTAGGCTCCATCATCTCTCTGTATCGGGTTTCATACGAAACAGAATGTACACATACACATAGTGGTCTGTTTACAGTCAAATTGACTAAAAGCAACTGGTATCCCTATGTGTAGAATTTCTTTAAAACCCACTGCACTCGCAATATGGGTCGTACTGCGATCCAATTTTGAAGAAATAGCATTAAAGGGATAGTTGAGTTCTGTTTTCAGACCGCAAATGCCTTCAAAGTGCATGTTATTGCTCTTATTCTTATCTATGACATTTATAGTGACCTTTTAGAACCTAAAATTGCTATGAAGGCAATTTTAGACCCCAAAATGTGTGAAATTTAGCCAATACGATCATAATAATTCAGCTCCACTTTCAAAAAAACATGGGGTCCATTAATTAATTATTTAATTATAAATAACAATACATGAGCCGGCATTTTGTGGGTAATATAAGCAACATGAAAATGCTAACAAAAAAGCTAACATTGGCATTGGCTGAAATACGACGTAAAAGGCGTCATTTCGGTTTTTTTAACAGTTTTTTCAAATTTTTCAAAATATCTAATATTTGTAGTGGTACACAAGTATTAGAAATCGTTATATTTCAGCCGTTTCTGAACTGATTTTGATCAAACAAAGATGATTTTGTCATTTAAATATTATGTTCTATCAAATTTGACACTCAGTTTTTCATTATCTCACAAACAAATTTTTTAGCGCCCTCTGTAACAGAACTGAACTATCCCTTTAACATTAGGTATGAAAATTTGAGCGTGCATTATCTTCCCAATTGACTTTCTGAACAACGATAAGAATATGTATTACAGTGGAAACTCATTATAACAAGGTCATTGAGATCTAGGAAATTCCCTTGTTATATCGGGGTTAAAAAAACATAAGAATATATGGAGCTGGGACCAGCAAAATCACCTTGTTATAACAGATACCTTGCTATATCAGAGCTCCTTATACTGAGGTTCCAGTGAATTTAGATTTGGAGCATTTATGCCTTTTAGTCAGGAAAAAGCCCCAATCGTCTCCAAATTATGGAGGATGACCCTACAGAATGAAGGTCACTGCAATAGACCAGTTCATGGTTAGCACATGTCTGCAATGACCCCGAATATCCACAGATCTTCAAAACATGAACAGGCCCCACTTTGTACATTTTGAAATAATCACTCCTTCTCGATGGAGGTGCTACATAAATAGCCTTAGTTTGTTTCCCCTTTTCAAAGAATACTTCCACCTGTGTATCATGGAGTGCACTGCTTGTGCATAAATGAATAATGATTACATAACTTTCATGAGCACGTATCCAGGATTATGTGTCTGTGTATTTCACAATTTGTTTTGCAATGACCTGGCTTATTCAGAGCAGACTTGGCTATCTTCCTACAAGTTAGTTTGTAGTCCTCCAATGTTTTGGTGTTCTTAATCATATTACTTTTCAGAATCTTTATATTTGAGATTTTGCACGTTTAAATTCTCATATCAAATGCTTTTACAAATTCTTCCAACTCGGGTTGTATTGAGGTCTTACAGTGTGTAGTGGGCTCTTGTTAAATGTGTCAAGCAGGTATTGATCTAACTATGCGTCTATATCTTTAGCTATAAGGTTGCAGATTCACGTAGCTTTGATTGTAAATCGTCTTTTACATGTACATCTGTCTTAGCAGCAACCTCTCTGTACAGGGCACCCATTTATCGTCACATTTCTGTTCCCTTTTAAAGGCATTGTTTAACAATGTTAAATCTGAGATGCACGGCCCTACGTATTATCAGTGTCTGTGATATGGTGTGATATTGAAGCCCTAAAAAATTGCGCTTCAAAATGATCAAGAAGTGCCTCAAAAAAGTAAAAATCTTTGAGTGACCGATTTTACCATACTCGTTTTCCCCAATAGACTAGTGTTATGAAAACCGTTTGGCAAACGGTTTTCAAAATTTGTAATTCCAATCATAAATATCTTGATAATCAGATCGGCTTGTAAAAGTCATGGAGTTCCTGACTGACCTAAAGCTTTATAATTATCATTGCAGCATGAGCTAAATCCAGGATTTTGTTTCAGAATCTGAGACAAAGTTACCGGATCCCTTTAATAGACGGACAATCTATGTTACAGGCTTTACTTGAAATATTCCTTGAAAAATTCTTTAAAATCAAAGTGCCTTTTTGTCCAACAGATTACAATTTGATACATTTTAAAGCCCCCCTGCACTAGTTTGGCCAGGAGGGATTAGACCTCCCTGCATAGTCACTGACAGGTGGTTATCTCACCAAATCAGCTCTCAATTAACATAAGAAAAAGGGGATCATGGGGGCACCAATGGTCACCACTTAGGCATTGTTTGCTATATATTGGCCACCCAATATTCACATACATCTGTGAATCTTGATGTACACCCCCCTCTTTCTTTTTCTTCTTTCTTTTCTCTCTCTCTCTCTCTCTCTCTCTCTTTCTCTCTATTCTTTCTCTCTATTATATTCTTTTGAAATGTGTAAAATCGCAATGTTTTGTTTGTTATGTATTTGTAAAAATGCAAAAGAAAAAGAAAATCACACAGAGATAAATAAATCAAATCAAATCAAATCAAGTAGCTATAAGTAGTGCAGTTGGGTTGTAATATTCTTTTCTGTTCTATTTTCTCTTTATAGGTCCCATAATACCCCAGACTGGTGGAGAAAGCTCAAAATATGCTATCAAGGGCACCAAGAGCAGACAATCGTATCCTTTCCATGTTTACCATGTATATGGTGTACAAGACCTGGGGGGGGGGGGGGGTGTTTCACAAAGATCCTAAGTTGGACTTAACAATTATGGAAAGCTGTTGGCATCTATGCAAATATTTTGTAAAAGTTATTTCAAAAGGCATAAAATGTTCATACAAATCATTCATAGTTTCTATCATCAAGGAGATTTCATGTTCTTGATGTGGAAATTATAAAAAGTCTAAAATACCTGAATTTTCCCTGTTAAACATATTATATTTTAAGGCTACAAATGGCTCTCCATGATTTTTAAGTCCAACTTAGAGTTAAGTTCGACTTGGGAACTTTGTGAAACACCCCCCAGGCCTTGTTTCATAAGACTTTTTATCAATGACCAGTTACAATAACCGTTATAAGCTACTGAAATCGTGGCATTTGATTGGCTGAGAGCAAATTTGTTGTTGAAACTTTGCATTTTTTTAATTGATAACAAGTTTTATGGAACAGGGCCCTAGGCTCTTAGACCCCGTTCTCACTCACTTCCTAGATCGATCTAGGTTAGACCAATCCAGTGGATCGCTCCAAAGGTTCGCTTCGTTTATGTTCTCACTTACGAGCTAGACCGCTCTTGTTGCTATGGTATAGCGCGAATGAGCTAGACTGCTCCTGTTGCTGGGGGTTGCAAAGGTCAGCGGGTCAAATGTTTCGCGCAGAGTTTCAAACCAAACAGAGTGCCTCATCTTCTGCTATATATTGTTATTTTTTATCATTCTATCATTTTCTTACTACCATTCCTTATATTATTCTATGTTTTTCCTTCTATCACCTTCTCTTATGTTATTCATCATTTTCTCTCTATCTTTCCTTATATTCTGTTTGCATTCGTGTACTGTCATCTCTCTCTTTCATTACTTTCCCGCCAAAAAGATATTTACAGTACAATTTGATTTGAAACAAAAGATTGAAGACCCCAAATTTGATTTTTGAGTCTATTTGGGATACTCCATAGCAATCCCGTTGGTAGAGAAGAGGTTTAAAAATCTTCTATAATAATGAGAAGCATTTATTTACTATTAATAATAGACCATTTTTGTAATACCTTCAAAATTTACGCTCAAATCTCTGTTAAGTTCCATGTTACAATTTATGAAATGTCCTACCACACAGCATTAGAAAAACAGACACTGATGATAATGATGATGATGTTGATGATGATGCATGTGTGTTGTGATTATATGTGTTGCATTCCTTTAATTTTGTAAATAAATCAAAGATGAAACAGACAGAGAAATACTGTGCTTCATGGTGTGTTTTAGAGGTGTCGTGTTCTAGTGGATGCATGTACGTCCCTTCCGGCTCGATTCCCACTGTGGCACTAAGTGTCCTTTGGCAAGATATTCATCTACGTTTGCCACTCTCCACCCAGGTGTAGGTGAATGGGTACCCGGTAGGAAGAACTTCCTTGAACCCCTGAGTGCCGGAATAATATGATTGCAGGGCCTTCAGGGAGAACAGTATTAAAGGGAGTGTATCATGGGAAATACTGGTTAACGCTCTCTACGTCTTCTCTTGGACAACTGCACGTAAACGAATGGACTTGATAAACTGGGTCAGCGCGCTAGTGTTCGCGAAACAAACCGAAGTTCTCCTCACGCTTTGGTTTTGCGTATGTTGCAGGCACGTGAATGCTGCGGTCGCGTCGTCTGTATTCGTATTTTACCCGATTGGCCCCCGGGTAGTAGTAGCTGTCTGTCGCGAAGCGACAATGACCGCCTTCATGTTCACTTTACAGCTGTTCTCCATACAGCTCGCTGGCCTGCAGCAGTTGTCCAAGTCTTTATTTCAATTTGCCTCCGCTTAAGGTTCCTCTTGATCGTGTCCTTGTAGCGAAGCCGTGGACGACCAATCCCTCTTTCGCCAGCGGGTAGTTGCGAGAATAGTACTTGCTTTGGTAACCTCTCAGAGGGCATCCTGATGACATGGCCTGTCCATCGTAGGGTAGGGCTACGGGAAAGACACATAGTCTCGTCATGACACACTCCCTTTAATACTGAGGAGGCTACCGAGGGAAAAAAAGACATATTATGATTATTTTATTGTTATTATTATTATAGCTTAAAAATGAAACAGGGAAATGTACAGTCTAGTGCTTCAAAATGTGTTCCTTAACCTTATAATTAATTAAAAAAATAAACAGACAAAAGTACGGTCTAGTGCTTGATGAGGGAGACAACTCCAGAGGTCAACAGAGGTCACAGCAAAAGAAGCCACGCAGGCAACCATCTGAAAGTGATAGTGACGATGACAGGCACAGAATGAAATCTAAAAAGGTTTGTCAGATATACACTCAGTATTAAAGCCCCACTGTCCTACTTGTAGCTACTTGCTCCCTCTATATAGAAAACTTCCCTAATCGGTGCCTGTTGGTCCCCCATGATCCTCTATTTCTTATGTTAGTTGAGAGCCGAGTTGATGAGATAGCCACCTGTCAGTGACCTGGCTGGGTGGCCTAATCCCTTCTGGTCCAGTAGTATTGATGGTCTTTAAGTGAAACCGGTTTAGAAAGACTACGGTACTAAAATGAGACTAAATATTTACAGGTAGTTGCTATAAATGCAGGTTTTTTTCTGATAGGAAACAGAATGCTTGCTGGGTGTTTGATAAAGTTTCATGGTAATTGAACACATACACAACATGTATATGTAGATAGGCATTATGTGTACCGGTACGTTCTTATTTTCTCCATTTTCGCGGACTGTTTGGTTGTAGTCATATTTTGGCCTCCGCTTTGGGCTGAAAATTCCTGGCATACGATGATTTTATATCTTAATTTTTGCAACACCATCTTATTCTTCATATTGGTGAAAGTATATTCGGGAGAGGGGGGGGGGGGGTATATATTTCCAAGAAAAAAAAGTGGGGGGGGGGTGAAGAGATATTTTGACATTTTACCTATACGGTATGTGAAATTGGTGCATAAATGGTAAACGACTAGATAAATTTTATTAAGACATATCCAGCAGTCGTCTCGATGGGTTTTACAGTTTTGTACAAATGACCTTTATCTGCCATGCGCAGAGAGTATCTCTGAAGTGACTTTAATACAGCCTTACACAGTGGATGAAGGCAGGGTGTGATACTTCTTTGCCAAGTTTACCATGAATTAATTCATCTTTGCCAATTAAGTTTACCATGAATGAATTCATCTTTGCCAGGTTTACCATGAATTAATTCATCTTTGCCAGGTTTACCATGAATTAATTCATCTTTGCCAGGTTTACCATAAATTAATTCAGCTTTGCCAAATTTACCATGAATTAATTTCCATCTTTGCCAAGTTTACCATGAATTAATTCATCTTTGCCAATTTTACCATGAATTAATTTCCATCTTTGCCAAGTTTACCATGATTTAATTTCCATCCTTGCCAAGTTTACCATGAATTAATTCATCTTTGCCAAGTTTACCATAAAGTAATTCATCTTTGCCAGGTTTACCATGAATTAATTCATCTTTGACAAGTTTACCATGTATTAATTCATCTTTGCCAAGTTTACCATGAATTAATTCATCTTTGCCAAGTTTACCATGAATTAATTCATCTTTGACAAGTTTGCCATGAATTAATTCATCTTTGCCAAGTTTACCATGAATTAATTCATCTTTGCCAAGTTTACCATGAATTAATTCATCTTTGCCAAGTTTACCAGGAACTAATTCATCTTTGCCAAGTTTACCAGGAATTAATTCATCTTTGCCAAGTTTACCAGGAATTAATTCATCTTTGCCAAGTTAACCATGAATTAATTCATCTTTGCCAAGTTTATCATGAATTAATTCATCTTTGCCAATTTTACCATGAATTAATTTATCTTTGCCAAGTTTACCATTAATTAATTTCCATCTTGTCTTCCTCCCACAGGATGAGAAGAAACACAGAAGGAAGGACAGCTCCTCTGAAGAATCTTCCAGCGACGAAAGAAGACGGCAGAAGAGAAAAAGAATGAAAGATAGGCAGGAGAGCTCGGCATCCTCGGAAGACGAGAGAAGCCGGAGAATAAAGAAGAAAGGAGCGAGGGACGACTCGGAGAGCGAAGACGGAAGGAGGCGGAAACGATCGCAGGGGATGCGCCACGAGGAGGATTCAGGGTCTTCAGACGACGACGAGAGGCATTCCAGACGGAAGAAAGGTCCAGATAGATTCAGAGATGATAGATCCAGGAATGATGAACAAGGGAGAGGTAGGGGAGATGAAGATAGGAAGAGGAGGAAAGACGAAAGAAGGGAGAAAGACAGAGACACTGGGAGACATGGATATAGGGATGGAGATCGGGATAGGAGTCGAGACAGAGATGGAGACAGGCATAGAGAAAAAAGCAGGGATGGTCAAAAATACAGAGAAAGGGGAAGGGACAGGTAGTAAATCATGTAAATTTTTACTGTATGATGTAATTATGTTCTTTCCCCATCTTTTTGTTTGAAATGGGAGTTGAAATTAATCTTGCAGTGTCTGAATAATTTGTTGAAAGCCCAACATGATGTAAATGAATAAAAATACAAATTATGCTTTCTGTCCACTGGTATAATAAGGATTGTTAAAGTTTATGAGTTTGAAAATGTTGAATATATATCCAACATGTTCAGCACTGATAAGGATTACCATTCTTACCGTAACAGTAACAATGTGAACACAAGCCCCCTCCCCCTTTAATGCTTCTGCATTTCGCATTGATGACATTTTGGGATTGTCGGGTCATAGCTAGGTCAAAGGTCGTAAAGATAAATGGACATGTAGTTAGGCCTAAAATAAAAACTTGTTGCATTGCCCTTTGCGACCGACCCAAAATTCTGAAAATCTATGGTCGGCATTTTAAAAAAGTTTTTTTTTTAACCGTTTTTTAGAACTGTTTTTATTAATGAATAACAAAAAAAAATGTATCGGCCCAAAAAGGGCGACAAAAAAAAAAAATTCCGACCGGCCGACCCATGTTTTGGCACCTAAAGGGCAATACAACAAGTTTTTTTGTAGGCCTTATAGGCTTTTTGTTCTAATCGTGATATTTCATGATCTTGACTGAATTTAGACTGGGGCATTATGGAGATGCAGTCGCATCTGCCGTTTTTATAATTCAATCAAATTCAAAAGTAGATGTAATAAAAATGAATTTCTTTTTGCAAAAATCTGTTTCCTTTCCATGTGTGTTTGTGGGTGCATGGGTGGGTTGGTACCAAGGATATTCATAAGAACTGTAGTACCTTTACTTTGACGGCCACCCGCAAAATGAGGACGTCCTTGGTTTGAGAACCCTATTGATGAAAACCCTGTTGTTAATTTGAGGCCCTTTCATGTAGGGGTATGTTCATATAAGTGCTCTTTTTGTACAGAAAAAGGAGGTCCTCGGTATATATGCAGTAAATTTCCAGATATTTCTTAGGATGTTAAAGCCACATAGTGGTCTGTGTCCATGTGTATTGCATCACAATTTTGCTGACACCAGATGCGGTTTAACTAACAATTAATGTGTCTGCGTGTGCAAAGTTCTCTAAAGCAGCGAACCTGTGGTCCCACCAAAAAAAATACCTCAACTTGCCTTCATATCTCCAGGATGAGGGAAATTTATTAAATGTTATGATGAGAATTCAATGATAATTCCTGATGGCAGTAGGCTAGAGCACAGTGCATTGCATAAATCTACTCAGTTGTAAAAATGAAGTCCACTCTTGGTGATTGACAACACCTGTTTAAAGGGAGTGTAGCTTGGCAAATACTGTTTAACGCCATCTACGTCGTCTTCTTTTGGACAACTGCACGTAAATGAATGGATTTGATTAATGGTAGTCAGCGACTTTAATCTCTACATGGTCAGCGTTCGTGAAACAGGCCGAAGTTTTCCTCACGCTTCGGTTTCGCGATTGTTGCACGCACGTAATTGCTGCAGCCGCGTCGTCCGTAGTCTTATAATATACCCAAAAGACACAGTCTTGTCCAGTCAGACCGCAGCCGGTGCGAAAACCCTCTATTTTATTCAGCACGTATGCAAGAATTTACGTGTCTTGCATACGTAATGAGTAGTGCAGACGGTCTTGCCGATCGGCAATTTTTGCCTTTATAATTGTTCATTTCTCATGAAATGGGTCTTATTTTAAAGATAAGAAGTTGCACTCTCTATATACTTATATGTCAATCATGTTAGATATATTTTGGAAACAGATATTTCGCCTTGAAAAAAGGGTTTTTCGACGATAAATCTATCTAAAGAGTAGGGCTGATTTTCACATAGAAATCATTCTTGCGTCAAGAAGATGTTATAATCAGCATAAAGCATAAATATTTTTCTTTACAATGATATCAAAATTATTATATTTTACGCTGTACCAAAGTCAGGAACCAAAAAAGATCACCCTCATGTTCATGAATAATTAAAAAAAGTAGTCATCTTTGCCGATGTGATAATAGAGAGTTCTGATTGGTCAACTACGTCACATATGTTTCGCTTTGGTTTATTAACATTCTGAATACCGCTATTTGGTAACCATGCGTTGTGGCGTGCGCCTGTAATACACGTGCGCGCAAGCCGTCTTGACAACAATCTAAGGACCCGAGATCAAATACCTCTCATGCCAGATAAAACGAATTTTATTTACTTTTATTCTTTTTTAATCATTTTTCTAATTTTTTTTGGCCAGTCGATGGCGCGGCGGAGCTCCCTGGAGTTTAATAATCAGTTATGCATTGCCATTGCTCAGACGGCGAGCATGCACGAGTAGGAAATCACACAATTTCGCGCTATCATAAAAAGAACAAATTGGTAATTTCCGGGTTTTTAGGGTCTTAATTACCATGGTTATAAAAAGAACATGATTTTGCGTCAATTAGGTTTTGACATATTTTTGATCAGTGACTTTTCATCTTTCGAACGAATCTCAAAGTGGACAAATTTATTTTGTACCAAAGTCAGGAACCAAAAGTGAAATTCCCGGGTCAAAACAGCAGTTGAAATGTTACAAAAATAACGTCAATAAAAGTTGTGAAAAATTATTGTTTACAAATTGCGAAATATGGCAAATTACATATCAAACTGATGCTGAAAATCTCGAGAGTGACTTTCCGTTGCATGCTGCCATGTTGAATGAAGTTAACGACCAAAAACGCAGCTACATGTAATTTGTACACCCCTACAAATCTCACTGAAAAGCGCATGGAAATTCAGCAGACGTAAATGTTATGTGATCGCCAGATATCGCTGAATAAAAAATCAGCTTTCAGCCTCATTAACGCGCGCGCTGCGGTCTGACTGTGTCAGGCTACACTCCCTTTAACCCTATTTTAACTGGGCTATTTCAGACCAGGTTTTTTACTGGGGGGGGGGGGTCAATTTGACCCCCCCCCCCCCCTAAGATCTCGGCCGTTTCACCGCCGATCGCGCGAAAATTTGCATGCATGTCAAGTGAAGTGTATAGAATACTATGGTAATTTCAAATTTTTGAAAAATTCACTCATTTGCATATTTATGGTAATTTATGCAAATAAGGTCATCAAATTCACATTTCTGCCCATAAATCATAGATTATTCATGTTTACGTATTCTTTTTCACTACATATATTTATTAGACCATTTGGAATAATAATACAAAAAAAAGAATTGGAAGAGCCAGGTTATCTCTTGTTTTTATAATTTCTTATGTATTTCATTGTTTTTTTTAACTTATGTATTTTATTGTTTTTGTTGTTTTATTTCATTTATAACTACAATTAAACTATTTTGACCCCAAAACAAACATCTAAACTTTAAACAAGACTGAATAACCAATGTTTTATCTATTTTTAGGAAAAATGACTTTTACATATGTTTTGTACACAAATCACGAAAATGAGCGATTTTCGGGCTGACATGCAAAGACAAAACGTCACGTGACCTTGTAACCGTAGGTCCGATTTTTGAAAAAATGGTTTTAAAAGATGCGTAAGACTCGAAAGTAAAAAGTCATGAAAGGAAAATTTTATATCTGCCGCGGTTTCGGAGAAGTCGCGAAATTTCTACAGGGGGGGGGGGGGGGTCAAATTGACCCCCCCCCCCCCCCCCCCAGTTAACATAGGGTTAATATACTGAGTGGACACCAGAAAGGTGTCAAAATCCCCATAAAAACCCACTACTATGAGCCTGTAGATTCCTTAAACATGTGTGTCTTCGACCATTTAAAGGTAAAGACCAGTTATGGTCATGCGATTGCATTGTGAAAGAAACGTTGTGGAATCGATCAGAAAAGGTTGATCATCTAGCATATAAGTATTGGTGTGTACTGCAAGGTTCTGGAATCATCAAAATGATAAGAAATTTTGCCCAGTCTTCGTAAAGTTACAAGCATTGTACACAGAAAGATGTATATGGGACTATACGCACACGTGCGCGACACGTGCGTTTATCTCTCACAGACCATGTAGATAAACTAATTTACCAAATATATCAATTAGTAGGCGGTTCCCCGGCAAAATTGTTATCATCATGTATTAGTCAAAACATATTTTTTCACATGATTGGTAATACAAGCTTCCATTTCATTTTTTGAAATTGGGGCGTTTCCAATACTGGTCTTTACCTTAATAACACTGATGTTATACACAAGTCCTCAATTTTTTAAACCAGAAAAGCTTATGCGTGTGTCTGATACTGCCAAAGTAGACCTTGAGTTTGGCAAAACTCAAACCTTGCCAAAAATATTAAGTTTACAAATTTACAATCTTAAAAAAAAAAAAATGTTTTAATACTATGGGAAGGAATGGTGTAAAGAGTATTATATTGGAATTTTGATTCAATATTGTAACCGCTCAAACATCACATCAGTGCATGATCTAACCACACTCATAAAGTGAAACCAGTCCATTAAGTCCAGGTTATTTTTTTCATACATTACTAGCCCATTCTCGTTTGTTTGTTGGAAACCAATTTGATGTGCTAGTGCCCTTTGGTAAGGCATTAATCCTCATTACCAAGTCCCTCTGAGAGGATGGGAAGCCATTGGTGCCCTGGTTGCTAACTAAGTTTAAATACAAGCATACACAAGCTTTTTTACCAGTCAGTCAATATTGTCTTTAAACATTAAAAGCATGTGCTTTAAAGAAAATTAGAAATTTCACCAAAAATTGAGCGATTTTTCAGGATTTTCACAGACACTTTAATGATCGCGAATTTGAGAAAAAGGATATGTTAAAGTCTGAAATAGCAAGAAATTTCAAGACAACTAGTCATAAACATGTACATGTATTTCAATGAGGGCTCTAAACGTTTCTAACACAGAAAGTTCCATGAAAATAGTGTACTTTTTTGTGAATTTGGACTTAGTATTCATGAATGGCCCATTTGTACCTGTATTGAGGCGAAAAAGTATGATATTTTTTAGTGAAAATGTTCTTGATTGTATGCAAACTGGTGATTTAAGAAATTAAGACCCTGTTAATGATCATCATTCATTCTATCTATCTATCTACGTCAAATAGCTTTGAGGCTGTTAGGGGAACACTGCAATGGACCTTGAGACACAGTTTCTCCATAACTTTCTGTCACCAGCTGTTCTAGTTAGGTTGCCAAATGACATACATGTACAGTACCTGTCCACCAGCGTTTAATGTTATCATCATGCATTACCCCTTTGAATGCGAAGTGACAGCACCAGGGTATGACACGGTGGATGCCAAATAATCCTGCTTCATGACTCTGCAATACATGTACATGTAATTGGTTAGCCAAAAAATGGTTTTACGTGTGCATGTGTGTATTGGGTTTTTACAGTCGTGTATTAATCAGATATGATTATTTACGTCTGGGGACCGACCTTTTAATGTCACCATCCAAAAAACGTGACTCAGTTACTTGGAGCCCATGGCATTAAGTTTTGTACGAGTACCTTTTTGCCTAAAAACAGGCGATATCTTGTGGAATATATTCTTGAAGTCTGCAAACGGGTAATTTTTTACTCCGCCAATGATCAAGGATCATCATGCATTACCCATTTTAATACAAGGTTACAACATCAGGGGAGTGTTTCACAAAGACTAAGATTGACTTTAAGTTGGACTTAACTATGGCAGGCCGTTGATGCCACTGGTTGCTCTCTCCATTGGTCTCTCAATTATGATCTTAAGATAATATTTTTTCCTTCAATAATGAATTATCAAAAAATAA